AAGGACAATTTATTTGAATTTCCTGCATTTTGCTAGGAAGTCTACTGAAGTAGGCTAAAGTAAGATTTCCTTATTTAAATGTAGAACGACTTTTGAAAGCAAGGAGTTTGATCCCCCTTTAGAGAGGAGAATCCCAGTACTCTGAAATATACTTTATCACTCCAGTCTTTTCCAATTCTACTTAGATGAGTTTGAATGTCTACCTAGATTTTTATAATTAATGTGTTTTGAAATTCTTGCTCTCAAGAACAAGAAAGTGAATGTAATGTCATATTTAAATATCACCATATATTGTGAATATACATGTGTATATATGTATATACATTTATGTATTATACAAATATTACTTGTACATTTAGATATAAATTTATCAATTAATGAATGATATTCCTTTACTAGAAGCTTTCATTTATTCTCTCCCCCTCCCTTTTTTTATTCACTCCCTTTTAATAAAATAGTTTGATTAAAGGTAAGAAGCAAGTTGTGGTTTTTTGTCTGTTCTTGAGTTCAAGATAATGTCCCAGGACCCCTAAAGGACAGCCCTGTGATCGATCAGCGCTGCAGTTCACGTCCAGCCCTGTAGCACTCACTGGACATGAATTGTTTAGGCATGGTTTAAACAAATCACCACATGCTCTCTGGGGCAGGTGACAGTGCCCCCTTGCTTAAACATGCAGATGGCAAACTCCCCCAAATGAAACTCATTCAGAGGACGAGTAAGAGAAGAGAGGGGAGGGGAGCCTCGTTGCTAGGAATATCCCCACCAGTTTATCTCTGGGTCTTCTGCTTCCGATGTCCATGTTCATTTCATTTCCCAATTATGCCTCCCTTTTAGCTCCAATTTAAAAAGAGTGCTAGAGCCCACGTGTCACTGGATGAGAGAAGGAACACTGTGTCACAGTATGAAATTCTGAACTATTTGAATTTTCCTGAAGGTCTTGGACTTCAGGTGAAAGTAGGGGAGTTTGTCCCCCAGGATCCAAGTAGTCAAGGTTGTATCATACAGGAGGAGCTGATAAACTGGGCTATGGGACTCAAAAAGGTTGCAGACAATTCAATCTTGGATTAATTCTTCATCAGTATTACAACACAGAGACCATATATGAGCATATGTGTGAAACTAACTCATAACAAAATCCTAATCTATTAATTTTTCTTACTGTCCAAGGAATATTGAAAGGATACTTTCATTAAGGAGATAGTCCCAGATTTTAAAATGCCTTATTTACTGCAGCAGGGCAGTGAGTCGAACAGCTTAATAGAATGAGCTGATAACATTTAAAAAAATTTTTATCAATGCCCATATAAGCTGAAAGAGTGTCAATCTTATGTGGTTGTAAGTTTATTGCTTGGCATGCTTTGTGCCTTAAAAATGTAACAGATTCTGGTGACTTAGAATTTTTTTTCCAAAGATTTTATTGGGGAATTGGGGGAGGGGAACAACGTTGGGGAATTGGGGAAGGGGCACAGACAAGTTGCTGTCCTTTTGTTCTTCAGTCTAGTTGTGGAGGACGTTGCTTCACTGGCCCATGTTGGTATTATCATTGCGCTCTTCCC